GTTTAAGACTGGGGTTTTGTGACAGATGTCCATACCAAAATCTCAAGTTTACACTGAAAGTTGATAGGACTACATTCTTATGCCAGCTGAATCACATTAGCAAATCTATCCATGATATGTTAATTAGAAAAAAACAGATACAGAATTGTATGGATAAACTAATCTGGCCTCTGCAGTATTCTTATTCTACTTCCTTTTCCTTTGTACCGCTTTTCCTTATGAAGATCATAGCAGCAGCATGAAGAGTAGGTATGGCCAGAGAACCACTGCCCTAAAGTAATACTAGACTGGCCAGATCAGCTTATCAAGAGACTTCTAAACCTATATTTTTGACTGACATACTTCCTGGGTGGATTTGTTAATATGCATTGGCTGACATGGGAGTGTAGTCCTAAAAATTCCCAGCAAACAGATATGTGTTAGCTTTGAACAAAAGTCTTACTTTATAGAATTATTTGTGCTGAATTCACCTTTGCATAAAGTAATCATATTTCCTTTTACAGGAGCTCTTTTATGTTGTGTATAACCTGTACCCTGTGTTGAATTTCACAGAATAACAAAAATGATTTAACAAGTCATAAACCAAAGGTTGTCTGGACTTTGGATTATTTTATCAATTCTCTGAGAGATCTGTAAGCTGCTGAGTGTTTTCCTCTGTCTACCAGAAGACTGAAGAAAATGTTCTTATTTGAATTGTGGTGACAAATGTAACTGTCAAACTATGAAACACTTGGGTGTAGAAACATGGTATTCAAACTTTTGGGTGGTTTGAGGAAATAGTAAAATGCAGCATAAAGCCAAAAAGTAAACTGAAATGAAACCAGTTCTAGAACTATAAATAGCATATAGTAGATAATAAAAGAATGCCTAATTAAGTATTTTCCCCAAAATCAAGATTTATAAGACTCATGTTTCCATTCCCTTATATACACTCATACACAGAGGATAGCATTTGATACTGGATGTTTTTGAGGGTCTGAGTCTGCTACCGTTGAAGTCAACAGCAAATTTGCTATTTACAGCTTATACATTGCTTTGGGATCCACTTAGATAGCAAGCACTATTCTATTTCCTGGTTGTTATTATTAATATAATAAGATACATGGTAGTGTGGACACTCCACTTATAAATTCGACCTAAGGGGGATTATTTCAAAATAAAGACCAAGGCTAAGAGCCCTGTAAAGGAGATTCAAGGATTATGAACTAACTCCTAAGAGAGCCATTCTATAAGGATGAGGAAAGTACCTGCATTCAGCGAAAGTGAATGGATTTCTCTGGTCTTTTACAAATCCAATTAATCTGGCAAAATGTAGGTTAATACAAAGGAGACGGAACAGTGTGATTCCAAAGCAGTTATACCAGGAACTCATCTGGACTAGTGTTATTGTTTTCTGCTAACATTTCATTTGTTGCTCTCCTTCTTTACTCCTTTTGGATACATCTACACAGAGCGTTATTTCGGAGTAACTGACATTATTCCGAAATAACATAGTGTACATCTACACCACAAGCCTTTAATTCAAAATAATGTCTAGCTGGAGAACTTCTTATTCAGACCCATGGTAACTCTCATTTCACAAGGAGTAAGGGAATTCAAAGGAAGAGTCTTTTTCCTTCGACTTCCTGCTGTGTAGACAGCGCCAAAAGCCAAATTAAGCTATTTTGACTTAAGCTATGCAATTGATGTAGCTGAAGTTGCATAACTTAATTCAACTTTAGCTCTGCTATTTAGATTGGTGAAGATCACAGAAAATAAAGGGTGGATTCTACAGGTTGAACCTCTCTAGTCTGACACCCCTAGGACCTGACCAGTTCCAAACCAGAGAATTTTCCATACCACAGGTGGTCAATATTGTCTAGCAGCATTACCAGCACTTCCACTTCTTACTGTGTTGTTGGAGGACATTTAAGGGTAAATTAGAGCTAAATAACAGCAGAGAACACTGAGAGCCAGGACTAGTGGCAGCAAACGAATTTTATGGGACTTCAGGAAACTTGGCCACATCCATGAAAAGTGAACATCCGGCTAACTAAAATCATTCCAGACCACAGATGTTTCATGACCAGAGAATTCTGCATTAGGGATGTTCAACCTGTTTCTTCCCTTCCTGCTCTGAATCAGTGCTCTCTGGCTAGTTCTGCTTTTGCTCTGTAACAAGGGGGAGGGGAACATTATAGAAGAAAAACTATTCCTTGACCCAAACCCTTTCTTTCTGCAGAAAAGCTCCTGAGTGGGGTCCCCCATAATAAAGTAATCCTCTCATGGACATTTCTTTACATCACCCCTTATGTAGAAAAGGCAACAGGGCCCTATCCCAAACCTGGTGTCATCCATGTAGAGGCTCAGACCCAGTCTGCACTTAAAAATTATATTGATCAAACTAAGTATCAGGGCTGTGAAAATTTAGAGTGTTGTAGCTAGGTTGACCTAATCCTCAGTGTAGAAATGATGAGGTTGAAGAAGAATTGAGGGAAGTGGATTAACTACATCGATGGAAACCCCCTTCTGACAATGTGGGAAGTGTCTAGGCTACCACTTTGCAGCAGCATAGCTGCAGCATTGCAGCTGTGGTGCTATAATGCTTGTAGTATAGACATAGTCTCAGTGCTCTGGCAGTTTGCCCCCCACTCCTGGTAGCAGCCAAGCTACTAGGAGTTTCCCAGAGCCACTACTGCCTTTGAGACTTTTGGAGGAGTCTCCACTGAAAAAGCTCCAGGCTTTTTCATCTTTTACAATTAATTTACACATAGTCCACATAATACATATTTGATAGTAAGAAACTGGAACCTCCATGCTGTGCTGGAATGGATGGAACTTTTCACCTGTGTGGAGCTCCATTGATTTATTTGGGTTTCTACAAAGGCTCAAGTGTCCAAACATATGAAGCAGCTTACAAGATCAATGTTCTACCTCTACTGAAAATGTAGTATTGATCTCTGACAAAAAGCTCCTTGAACTGAAATATAATCAACTAACACATTTACCCAGCATTGCTCAGATCTTTAAGGTGAGGCTCAGGGCAGGAGACTGGGAGTATATGTATGGAGGGGTGCAGGAGTCAGAGTTGGGGCATCAGGACGGGCTCTGAGCAGGGGTGTGTGTGTGTGTAGAGGGTTGTATGGGGGGACCAAGATTCCTACCAGAGCTGCTTGCTATTCCCTCTCTTGTCCTTATCATCTGACCACTGCGCTCCCCCGTCAGAGTGCACTTCCCCTTGCTCTCTGACAGAAGGG